CTGCAAAGACTCCTTTCAAACATTGACACGGACGACGACGGACAATCACTCATATGATAAGCTCCGCTCGACAAAGTCGACAACGAAGCTAAAAATGACAAAAATATTAAGCACAGGTCATTGAAAATGACACAGTCCCCGTTAAATTCTCTTTGTGCTCGTCATATTAAAGCGGAGGGGTTGTCGCGAGTTCCAAGTGGCGTATACAACAGAATGTTTATTTACATCAAAACACGAGTTTCGTGTCATAGTAATATGGCCAAAATAAAAACAGCCGTTATTCAGCCATCTTTGATTTGATTATGAAACACACTGATATGTATGATGTATGTGCCAAATACGAATGAAAATGGTACATAAATTGTGGAAATATAGTAGTAAGGCCAAAAAGTCAGATGGCTGTCAATCGGCCATCCTTGACCTGATTTTGAAACAAATTGTCATGGACATGAATCCTAACATGTATAAAGTACATGTATGTGCCAAATTTGAATGAAAACTGACAGAGCACGTCCAAGATACCGCATAAAAAACAAAAACAAGATGGCTGCCAGTCGGCCATTTTGAATCGAATCGCTAAACCACTGCATGTGCATATGTCCCACATAAGGTACTAGACACATGCAAAGAATGAACGGAATCGGCCCACAGGATTCTGAAATATGACGGATAGACTGACGCACGGACACACGGACGCACGGTCGGACGGACAGACTCAGGAACTCATGGACGGTTGGGGACATGTATCCTAACATGCATGATCTATGTACTAAATTTGAATGAAAACTGACAAAGCATGTTCAAAATACAACATTTTCAAAAAACAAGATGGCTGCCAGTCGGCCATTTTGAATCAAATCGCTAAACCACTGCATGTGTATATGTCCCACATAAGGTACGAGGCACATGCAAAGAATGAACGGAATCGGTCCACAGGATTCTGAAATATGACATTGGATAGACTGACGCACGGACAGACGGACATACGGACGGTCGGACGGACAGACAGACAGACTCAGGAACTCACGGACGGTCGGGGACATGTATCCTAACATGTATGATCTATGTACTAAATTTGAATGAAAATTGACAAAGCATGTCCAAAATACGACATTTTCAAAAAACAAGATGGCTGCCAGTCGGCCATCTTCGATCCAATTGTGAAATAAATCATCATGGACATGTATCCTAACATGTATAATTTATGTACTAAGTTTGAATGAAAACTGACAAAGCATGTCCAAAATACAACATTTTCAAAAAACAAGATGGCTGCCAGTCGGCCATTTTGAATCGAATCGCTAAACCACTGCATGTGCAGATGTCCCACATAAAGTACTAGGCACATGCAAAGAATGAACGGAATCGGTCCAAAGGACTCTGAGATATGACCTCGGACGGACGCACGAACACACGGACGGAGACCGAATTATAAGTCCTCGTTTTCTGACTTCGTCCGAACGGGGACTAAAAATTAGAGAATTGAAGATATCATCATGAAATGAACAAATCTGTAAGTGGTCCACATGTAGTACCTATATATGTATAATATACATAATATCAAAGCAATTGGTCTTGCTGTTTTTAACAAGAAGTCAAAAATATCACTTTTTACCAAAAATGACAAAAATATTCACCAAAATAAGAGAATTTGAGATTTTGACATGAAATGAATAAATCTGAGAAAGAACCATCCAAGGTACTTGCACATCAAATTTGAAAAAATTCTGACTTGCGGTTTCGAAGAAGAAGTTGAAATTGTAAAGTTGACGGCGACGGACGCTGGCGACGACGAACAATCAGTAATATGAACAGCTCTGCTGTGTCGACTTTGTCAACAGCGGAGCTAAAAACAGGAATCTTATTTATCAGCAAGTAAATTTCATGAAAATTTTACAGTACAGACTAGCTATCATAAAGATAACACAGACAAAATAGGGTATATTAATTTCAATAAGATTTTTAATTATCGGTATAAAATAAAAAACAATATTACAGATTTGTTTTCAAGGTCAAATAAATCAAGCAGCATGGTCCACTATTTCATAGTGACTCTTAAAATATATATTCACATCTATTAAGAACATCAATAAAGAAATTTAACTGTAACACATTTAATGTTTAAGTTTTTGGCAGTGGTAATGCTATCAGACCAGTAAATCTAGGCCAAAGTCTAGCGATAAACTGACTGCATTGCTTGCATTGCAGGTGTTTGTTAAAGATTGCAAGATTGTGGAAACATCAACAGACATTTTAGCCACTAATACCTTACAAGCTTGGAATTATTATTTCAGACAAAGTATTGAAAAGATGGCAGTGGTATAGAATACATGTTATTTAAACAAGAATAGACGGAGTAGAGGCTGTTAGGTCTGCATCACCAAATACAAAAGCTGAACATATTGCAAATTAAATTATGGCAATAATACTGCTTTTGCAGCTGCCATTATGTCTAGATTTGGATTTAGTGATCTTCCTAGGCCTTCCAATACCATGATAGCCAGAACCATAGAGGCAAAATTGCTCTCGAGTTTCACCTAAAAGTTAAACAGTATACATGTCAACGGTCTCCTGATTTTAGATAAGACCAGACTTTTATTATCCCTTGTTTCGCGAACCCGCTGAATGAACAGGAGTCGAAAATAAAATAAAAATAAAATTTTATTTCAGCGTAATTCCTCGCGCCCGCCGACTTGTAAATGCTAAAAAAATATTATTTTATTTTCATTTTTTTACCGCCCGTCGCATAACAAATCCAAGTTGCATTTTCGTGGGAGTGTCATGATCAAAGTACCGAAGTCTCGCGCAGATGAGAAACAAGGTTATACATGGAACAAAATTTTATTTCATTTCTTCTCTCCGATCAATGATCTTACTTACAATTCTTTGAGAATCACACAAATCTAATGGAAAAAAAGAATTAATTTTATTTTTTTTCCCGCCCTCCTCAAAAAAATTGCCTTATAAAAACTCAAGAAACAAGGAATAAAAAAAGTCTGGCCTAATTGGCAGTAAAAATGAAATTCAATAGCTATACGACTCCTTTCATAGTTGATCACAGAGTTGTATCAACAAGCACCTCTCTGACCACATTTTAAATGATGATACGTAGTTTTACACTAACCTTGTGTTCTATAAGTAATGAGAATACACTTCTTAATAGTTCACCAACATTAACCTGTAAGACATTTAAAGATGAGAAACGTACATGTAGGAGGATAAACTTGAATATGAAAATTTTATATCCTTAAAACTGCTGTTAAACTTGCATGTGCGAGTTTCACATGACTTATAGTGCCTATCCTTCAGTAGTAATGATTAGCATGAAATATTGTTAGTTGATATGGTGAACATCACAAAATTAACGGTAAAAGGTCATCATAATAACAGTGTTTGAACAGTATGCGAAGGAAGACGAGACGTGCAGTGGCACCATTTTTATTGCAGCAATACAAGAATGTCAGATAACAACAATTTCTCAAATGATGCAATGACCGACTCGTAATATCAACTGAAAGTTTATTTCAAAAAGATATTGATAAAATGGTAACATAAAAATCAATAACCATCGACAGCTGGTGTTATTTTTTGAATTGGTCATTTGATAAAAAGGTTAGCACCTAATATCAATTATTCATTGAGGTGGTCGATACTTGTTGCGTAATGGGCTGTATTATCCATTCACCTTCGGTTTGTGGATAATACTAGCTCATGACATCACTTGTATCAACCACCTCTATAGACAAGCAATACAAGGTGACCTCATGTTATCCTCCAGAGAGTGTTTCTATTCACTGCTTGCTTTACTCTGAACTGTAGACAAAAAACTGAACTGCAGGTCAAAAACTAGACATAACACATTGTTACTGTAATAAACTATTAAAGTACACTCAACATTGTTACTACTAAATTCCCTAAACAAATTACGAGATAAGTTAAGAAAAACAACAAATACACATAACCACATTGATATGGTATGATAAATCTGCTTGCCTTAGCAGAAGTGATGGATTAGATAACTACGGGGTAGCACAAATTTACTCATTAACTATTTGTAAAACACACAGTTCAGGTCATTTATATATACATTGTATAAGAGATGAAACGCATACATCTATGGATGGTTTTTCGCTGTGGTACGGGATATCCCTTGTGTATCAGCGTTCAGTGCCTCAATATACTAATATCACACTATCAGTTTGTAGAAATGAATGTTAACTGCAAGGATGGATGGACTGCTTGATGATATTCTGTTTACACACCAAGCTGTCCAGCCACCTTAAAGTGAACATCAAGCAGTTGATTGGAGATCCTCCTTAACCCTGTAAATTAATTTATGGTCAAATAATAGCCATACATTTAAACACCACCAACATGCTGATATTAACATCTGACTACGATACAAACAGTGAACAACAACTGTACAAAATGGTTGCTGTCTTGAAATGCTGTTTAGTACATCAATTAAAAGGTATGACAGCCTAAAAATATTTAGCAACAATGTACGTATGCCGTCCATTAGAGTTAAAAATAAAAATCAACAAACCTTGCTAAGATTGAGCGTGTTTTTGGTTGCTTCTCTCACTAATGTTGACATTTCTTTTTTGAATTTGTCCACATCTTCACACTCTTTGGCACAAGCATGATGAAGGAAAAGATCAGCTACCTTTTCTCCCTGTGATGAAATATGAATAAAATTAACTAAATAAAGTACTGTAAAATCTGTATTAGAAACTGTGGCTTCTATTAAAATGGTATAATGCAACAGAGCATCCACACATATGAGAAATGATGAATTTTTGGTTCTCAATTATTCAAAACAAATGGATGAGACTTTTATTAGGGATGCGGCTTCTAATACAGATTTTACAGTACCGGTAATATCAAGATATAATATTTACACATAGATAATCCGAGCTCATTACACACCTCAAAGCATCATCATACCTTAAAGGGGCACGGACGCACACAGGGCACGTCCGAACGGGGACTAATAATATAGCACAGACTGAGATAGTCAGCTCGTTCAGTTGAAGTACAGTGCTACCTACATGTTTATGTTCCAAGATATGTCTACATGTTTGTTTTTTCTTCAAAAATAATTAATCAACCTAGATTCAAAATAGTTTGCATTCATACATACTCGCACATTGGTTTGTGTGCTCAAATCGTAATTTTAACCAATTGTAGAATAAGATCAGGCAGATAGTTTTGAAGATGTGACAAAAACAACACTCTGAGCACGAGGTTAAATCTGGTATCAAGATATACCGGGTAGGTAGTGGCATATTTTTACTGGAGGAACTGGTTGGTGCTACTTCATTATAAATCTTTAAGTTCATAATTATTCACAAAAATTAAAATCATTAAAGGGGCACCTTCCAGTTAAGCCTAATCTCACAACAAATTTACTTTCTGGATTAAAATTACAATGGATAACAAAAGACAGACTAACTTTGTTAACAATATAAACAATAGTATCCCATGGTTCTTTGATACAATCCATGGGATTGAGCGGTTCCCCATTAAAATATAGAGAGTGCAGTATGTTATACTTCACATAATATACCACAAGCAATCCTCATTAACTACAAAATGATTATTATACCACTTACATCTCCTAACACAACAGCAGTGAAAACACCTTCAAAGTTCCATCTGTCTTCTTCTTCTAGTTCTGAAGTAATACCAGTGTCTAACAGAATTAACTTGACAGGACATGGCACTGGTTTGACATTGATGATGACAGTATCACATATATCAACCAATGTCATTATATTCTCCTGTTGTGGATTGAAGTCACTTGCTCCATGTACTAGAATATTACCAGGATGTAAATCAGCATGTACAAAGTTGTCGACAAAAACCTACAGGAATTAACATTAAGTGAATTAGTATGCAACCCCACAGATCAATGACCAATCAGACTGCTAAGGTCATGAAGTGATACATTGTCTACAATCAGTACCAGCATTAAGTACTGGGGGTACATGTATTACACATAGCAAAAACTTTAGCCAATGTATGCATCATGTAGATGCATGCTTTTATCGTGGCTTTGCAACACTATTTTCTATACTAACAGACCTAAAATCATGGTGTCCAAGTCTGCAGGTACAAATGTATGGAGTGGAACATGGGAATGAGAGGACAGAACCTAAACAAACTGAACCTAGTTTGTATCAAGATCTACCATGTTGCAGTTTTGACTATTATGACATTATTCTGTTATTGTACTTTAAAACCAATGAGAGTATTTGATACATAGTGTCATGCATGCAAAATGTATTTTGAAATACTGTTTTACTATCATGATGTAACATTTAAAACACTCACCATCTTCAAAAGTGCATCAATAGCCATATCAGCTAATTTATTTCTCAGTTCTTCACTACTATTCTCATTATCATTCAAATATTTGGATATGCATTCACCTTCCTGTTATAAAAAAACATACACCATCAAATAATTTATAACATCATTATGCTAATGGCAGGTCTTAACATATGACAGCCTTCACAGATTAAGAATAGGTGCATATATGAGATGGAAGGTTTACAAGATCTTGTGAGAACATAGATAAATACAATCTATTGAGAGGATTGATGCAATTGCACTAAAATGTCCTTGCTTGAAAATTTATCTAATGAAACAAATTGTACTCAGCTCCAAACATTGGAAAAGTATATTTTCTGATACATTTGAATGTTAGGTATAATAAGTGAATATTTACCTCATATGTCTCCACCATCACATCTTTCCTAACATACGGTCGGATTGGTTTTGGAAATTTCACACAGCTTACATCACTAAAATTAACATTGAATCTTTCTAAGTTTTTAGCTTCATATCTTAGATCAATCTGTAAAATCAATACACAATATGTCTATAAGAAAATTTACTGTATATTGTTAAATTTTCACTCCCAGAAACAATATTTGAAGGCATTCGGCAATGATTAAATTGTACAACAAGCAGCCTGTCGGCTGAGATAGCTCCGCTGTTAGCAATGCACATGGCAATTAAAGAACAGAAGATATCATTAGAAAATAAACAAATCTGAGAGAGGTCCACATGTAGTACCTATATGTATAATATATCAAAGCAATTGGACTTACGGTTTTCAACAAGAAGTCAAAAATATCACTTTTTACCAAAAATGACAAAAATATTCACCAAAATTAGGAAATTAAAGATATCATTACAAAATGAGCAAATCTGAGAGAGGTCCACATGTACCCCCGGTAGTACCTATGTATGTAATATCAAAGCAATTGGACTTGCGGTTTTCAACAAGAAGTCGAAAATATCACTTTTTACCAAAAATGACAAAAATATTCACCAAAATT